TGGACTTGTTTTAATTGTCTTTAACTTCAAGTTGAACTTGCATATGAGCAGTATGCATATGCATACTTCAAGTTGAACTTGCATATGAGGGGCAAATTTAGGGGCCCTAATGTATAGTATAAAAGACTGTCAAATAACCCAAAATTCACAAACAGCAGAAGAATAACTAGATGAATGGGACCTTCTAAAAATTTAATTTTTATATGCTTCAAAAGACTTCTTCAAAAGAGAAAAAGAAACTACCAATTGGGAAAAAATATTTGTCAATGACATATCTGACAAGAGACTTATGTCTAAAATTTATAGAAAACTCCAATACCTCAACAACAAAAAGACAAGCAATCCAATTAAAAAATGGGCAGAAGACAGGAAAGACACCAAAGAGGACACCAAAGAAGATATTCAGATGGCCAACAAACACCTGAAGAAATGTTTATGATCATTAGCCATTAGAGAGATTCAAATCAAAATGAGGTACCATCTGGCCCCAGCACTAATAGCAAAGTTCAACAAGGCAGAAAATAATAAATGCTGGCAAGGATGTGGAGAGATTGGGACTCTCATACACTGCTGGTGGGACTTTAAATGATACAACCATGGTGGAATGTAGTATGCCAATTCCTTAAAAAGTTGGAATTAGAAATATCATTTGACCCAGCAATCCCATTACTAGGTATATATCCTTATGAAGTGAGAGCCAGGACAAGAACAGATATATGCAAACCCATGTTCACTGCAGCACTATTTACAATAGCAAAAAGATAGAAACAAACTACGTGCCCATCAACAGAAAAATGGATAAGCAAACTATGGTAGATACACACAATGGAATACTATGCTACACTAAAGAATAATGTAGAATCTACAAAAGACCACATAATGTGGATGAACTTGGAGGATATTATGCTGAGTGAAATAAGTCAATCAAAGAAGGACAAGTATTATGTAAGTTTATTATTGTAAAAAGTCAAGGAAAGGTGTATATATGGAAGGAAACTTTTTTTGTTGGTTACTAGGGGTGGGAGAGGAGGGGAGGAAACACTGCAAAAATAAATAGATAAATAAAAGGAAAAAATAAAAGAAATTTGCAGAATGTTCTCCATGATAAAGAAAAGTGATCGCAGATGCATCCTGAGAATCAGGAAGGAAAGTCGAGAAAGTAAGTGATAAACTGGTGAATAAATCTACATGAACACTGCATAAAACAATAATGCTGCTTTGTGGGGGTAAAAAAAGGTGATTGAAATAAGATACAGGACAATAATAGTATACAAATTAGAAAAGGGAATCTCTAGTTATGACCTTGCTCACTATTTCATTGAGAAAAAAACAATCAGAAGCTCACTGCCCCCCACTACATCTATCTGTAACCATATACTTTCTCCTTCCCAGCTGACACTAAAGGGAAGCTACTTGTGGTCTTTTCTACAGCCAACTCCTTTCCTTATGCTCTAGAGCCCAAAACCTCTCACCTACTCAAAGAATAACTGTAGCAATCCTTTCCTCTCTTCACTCCATCACTATTCCTCTCTCTTCTAGATCATTCCCACCAGGGAAAAAAAAAAAAATCCTGCTATTTCTTTTGCACTTAAAAAACAATCCTTTCAACACCACTTCCTCTGCCAGATGTAGTACCATTTCTTTGCTCTTTTTTGCAGCAAAACTCTTTGGAAGGGTTGTTTTCTGCTTTGTTTCTATTTTAGCAAAATAAAGGCCAAACAAAATAAAAACAAGGAACTAGTGAAGAACTGAAATTAGTGAAATAGAAAAAAATCACAAAGGATTCATAAAACAATGCCCAGGATAATCAGCACTTAATGAACATCTGTAAAGTGATAGAATGGTAAACAATTTAGCAAACAGAATATTTATAAATTATTTATAAATAATAGTACCTGTTCTTCCTTGTATTGAAGATGAATTTTTTAAGTCTCCACTAATACTAGTGACTGTAGCTGTGTATTTTCGCCCAGGCACCAGGTCAGTAAAAGTGAATTCTTTGGCATCTTTGGAAAGTGATTTGTGGATGAGCAAGAGGTCTCTATCAGCTAGTGAAATGATGTATTTCTCCCATTCTGCTACAGGGGTTTGCCACATGATGCCCAGTGAGGTTTCATTGGAGTGTTTGACACGAAGCTGAAGTACAGCCAGGGGAACTGGGAACAAAGCAATGGAGGCTTTGATTATTGACTGACTCACATATACTTACTGGGTATTTTTTAGAGAGCTGTTGTCTTCCATCCATAGGAGTGTTCCAGTTCAGCATTTCATTTCTAAATGCTTGTGAGTAGCTTTTTTTTTTTTTAATAATCACCAAAAATTTGGCTCATGATATAATCAGAAATAAAGACTCAAAAGAAAATACATTGATGGAAGAATTATTTATGTTTGACTACTTATTAGCATTTTTTCTCTTCATATGAATTCTATCATATAAGAATATATAATCCTCTTGTCAGCCAACACACTGCAGAGAAAAGTCTGTGTTTAAGTATTTAAGTGAAGTTGGGAGTATTATTCCCATAGGCTGGAAAGACCTAGTACTATTTCTGAGAAAGGGATACTATGTGGCCATGAAAGGAAGAGGCAGCTGGCAGTAGCATCTGATCAAAGACTCCCTACAGCTAAAGAAGGAATCCATGGGTGGTACAAATGTTTAAGTGCTTGGCTACTAACTGAAAGGTGGGTGGTTCAAAGGCACCCAGAGGTGCCTTGAAAGAAAGGCCTGTTGATCTCTTTCTGAAACGTGACAGCCTTGAAAACTCTATGGAGTGCAGTTCTACACTGCAATACATGGGGTCACCATGAGTTGGAATCAACTTAACACCAATTAGTTTAGTTTGGTGTGTCTAAAGCATCAAAATTATCCATTAAAGAAAAATTATGTTATTACAATCTCTAGGAGAAACAACAACAAACAAAATAGAGAAGATCCATATAATGATGTCCAGTATACGACAGGTACTTAATGAACATTTTTTTAAAGTCATTTCTAAGAGAAATTATTAAGAGTAAAGTGTTGGTCCCACAAAACAATGGGGAAATTAAATTATGGGAGAACCAAATGAGTAAAATTATAATATGATTTCTTTTCCATCAAAAATCTTTATATAATTCCATTCTAATCAAGTCCCTAAATCTGCAACTTTCTTTAGAAATTTATATGGAAACAAATTGGAATTTTTACAATGAGTTGGAAAAGTTATCTTATTCACCTAGAGACAATTTAAGAAAAGTTCTCCTGAGGATTATGCCAGCATGCTGAGCGCCTTTACTGTCCCTTGATCTTGAATTTCCAAGTTATTTGAAGTGAATGAAAAATACTGGAGAGGATATAGATGCCAGGGGAGCCCCGGTGGCACAATGATTAAGCACTCGGCTGCTACCTGAAAGGTCAGCAAGTCGAACCCACCAGCTGCTCCGTGGGAGAAAGGTGAAGTATTATACTTCCATAAAGATTTACAGCCTTGGAAACCCTATCAGGTATTTCTACTCTGTCCTATAGAGTCACTATGAGTTGGAATTCAACTTGATAGCAATAAGGTATAGATGCTTGTCCTGTGAAATACTAAAAATGGCTCAGTTTAAGGTTATATAGGTCTTTCATCACCTTCTGATGGACAGCAATATTTGGAAAATGAAGAGATTACTGGAAAACACAGTTGGCAAGTTAAGGGGGTGTCTTGATCCTTTTCATTGTCAGATTTCTAAGTGGAAAATTAAAATTATTGTATTTACTTCCTTATTTTCAGGCAAGACTAAGAGAGAATATATTTGAATTTCACTATAGCTATGGAATATTCCATTTTCATAGAATTTTTGAACTTGGAAGGGCCACACTCTTATTTGAAAGTTGAAAAAACAGGCCTTAGAAAGGTTGTGACTTGTCCAAGGAATTGCAGTGCAGTGTTCACAACAAGACTACCAAGGCTCACGCCTCAGTATCCTTATCCTCCCCTCCCCTAAAAGCCAAATATCTCCCTCTTCACTGTAATCATGCTCCCTTGGTGGTTGAAATTCGTATATTAGTCAACATTAAACCAAGACAAGAGTTCCCTAACAGTGCTCACCAGCAAAAGGTTGCTAACTATCTACTTTGGGGTGAAGGATCAGCCTTTGCTCTCAGAATGTATCATTCTTACTCTTCTTTTGTGTGTTAAAATGTCTTTTCTTTTATAAAGTAATGGTGTTACTAGTGGAAGTAATTTTTAATGTTCTAATTTGGAAAAGTTAAATATTAGTAACCTTCTATCAGTCTGCAGTTTGGGGAGAAAATTCTACTGGTCTGTACTATATCAAATTCAGGTAACACTGTGCATGGCTTTGATGGTTACTTGGGTTACTCGTGAGTAAATTAAGGTCAGCCAGTGACACCTCAGAAAGTAGGCCTGGTGATCTGCTTCCCTAAGGTTACAGCTTTGAAAACCCTATGGAGCAGTTCTACTCTACATGGGGTCATGTAGAGTAGAATTAAGTTGGAATTAATTCAACGATAGCTTACCTGTCCTGCCTTGGCAGTGCTCGGAATTCTTTAGGTTTCCACTCTCAACAATGACCTCGACATCATACTGTCTTCCTGGTATGAGCCCTATATCATCCATAACATAGTGTGTTTCCTCTTTTCCTACAGAGATGTTGAGCAGCACCAAAGAATCATTGAAGAGCATGATACGATACTGCTCCCAGTCTCCAGCAGGGGGCGACCAGCTCACTATGAGGGACCTCACCCAACCATTGCTGTTTGCCTCCAGGTTCCCAACTTTCTCTGGAACTAAAGGGCGAAAACATGTCAAAAAGGAGATACTAAATACCAAATTTAAAGATACTCATTTCCTTTCCATGAGCAACATAGATAAGAGACTTAACATCTGGAATTCAAAACATTTCCACCTCCTCCTTTCCATATCTGTGGATTGCAAATATGAGTGTTCTTTCCTCATTTGGGGAAATACTTGACACTCAATAAAAATATGCTATAATAATTCCAGTGATCTATCAGTAATATGGTCTTCTGTAATATCAATAATCTAATGAAATGAATGCTGCCTTTTACTGATTTCACACCAGTTCTTGAGACAATAATGATGTTGCTTCTAATGATGGTGACACTGACAGATGTGGCATCTTTTTGAAAAACTACTGGATATTGTATTTCTGAAACATTCTTTTCTCTTTTTTTCTCCAATGAAAAAGATTAATCTTCCAGCAATATAGCTTTGACCTTATTATTCTTTTACTGAAAATATTTAAGATCTCCCCATTAACTACAGAATAAAAGCCCTTGGCTTGGGATTTGTGGCTCTACAAAATCAGATCCCATATCCTTCCAGACTTCTCTCTAACTATTCCCTCCACACTCTCCCACCTCTCCCAACCCCCCTGAATGCCAGGCGCCAGTTGTGTTCTGCAGACCATGAGTTCTTCAGCCTCTGGACTTTGCTCCTATTGTTCCTTGTATCTCAAATACCCTTCCCTTTTCTTCCTTTTTACCTGACTAAGAGCTACAAGAGGAGCTCTGGTAGCATAGGGCCTAAGGCATTTGGCTGCTAAACAGAAGTCTGGTGGTTCAAACACACCAGCCACTCCTCGGAAGGAAGGTTGGGCAATCTACTTCTGTAGTGATACTGCCTCGGAAACCCAAAGAGTGATACTGCCTCGGAAACCCAAAGAGGGGTCACTATGAGTTGGATCCAACTTGATGGCACATGACAACAACAAGAGCTACATGTTCTTTAGGTCCCAGTTAAAGACCACCTACCCCAAGAAATCTCTGATCTTCTGAAAGAGAATTTTATTCTCTTTTCTTTCTGACCATAGAGCTGTTTCTTAGAATTTGTAATAGCATAGAGAATGGACTCTGAAATACAACCTGGGTTTAAATTCTAGCTCCACTATTTATTGTCTAGATGACTATAGACAAATTGTTTGACTCTCAGAGTTACCTGAAATTGTTGACAACAATAATAATAATAATATCTCTTTCATGGCTTTGTTCTAAGAACACAATAAAATAATGTATGCAAAGTATGTAGTCATCGCCTGGTACACAGAAACATCTGTAAAATTGCTATTATTAGAATTTTTATTTTTGTCTGTATATTATACATCTGTGCTATTAAAATGTAAACTCCTGAAAGCAGGGTTCAGCAAACATTTTTTGTAATGGGCCAAACAGTAAATATTTCAGACTTTATGGGCCACAAATGGTCCTCAGTCTCATAATTTTCTTTTCTTTTCTTTTTTTAACGACCAATAAAAATTTAAAAAGCACTCTTAGCTCCAGGACTATACAAAAACAAATCTGGCCCACTGGTGTAGTTTTCTGACCCCTGCCTTAAAGGCAAGTTGCATGTGTTTTTAAAATAATTCCCAAAGCTCCTAGTACTTTAATTTACTCATAAAAGGCAATGGACAAATTTTTGGTGACATAATTTAATAAAATAATTTATGAAAAACATGGTTAAGTGGTAAGTGACCCTCCCTATAAGACTCCACCAGAAATATTTTATTCATCGTCCAGGGGTTACTGCTATTGTTTTATGCTACTTAAGTGATGTGACATGAAAAGGCACGGGGCAGAGCCAATTATGCAGATTCTTTAGGAATCAAAACACATTTGTTTAAATAACTCAGACGAATGCAACTGGACCCCTACTTTACTCATGTGTGGAGTCCTGATGCACAGATGCCCTCAGCATGTAGACCATCCTTCCCAGGCTGGAAAAGGAATTTTCTTTTTAGCTTACTTTGTCATGTTGTAAGATAGATCAAAGAATGATTTGAGCAACCAAAGAATATTCTGGAGCTCGACTCACCTGTTCTGCCAACTGCCATCTTTTGAGCAGACAATTCACCAGAGACACAGATGATGGTAACTTGATAAAGTCGTCCAGGGGTTAAATCTCTAAAGTGAGTTTCAGTAACCCGGGGTGCTAATATTCTGGATTCCCTGACGGTCCCTTGGTGAGACAAGGTAATGTTGTAGGAATCCACATCTCCAACAGGTCTTTGCCACTTGACTTTTAGAGAGGTCAAACTGCCATCATTTGTCACCTTCAAATTTGAGACTTCCATGGGGGCTAGTAGGAAAGAATGGAAAAGAGACTTTTATTCAGGGTGTCTTACCAGTCTAGAGGCCAAATTTATATCTGTATTTTAACTCCTGCAAGCCACACTCTCTGGTCAGAAGAAAACATCTACTTTGACAGGCAAAAATAATACTTCAAGACTAAAGAAAGACTGTCAGTCTAGGGGAAAGAGTAAAATCCTGACAGTCAGGAGTGTGCATTCTGGTTCAGACTTGCCTATTAGTCAGCTGGGCAATCCTGGGCAACTCTCTTTATCTCACCAAGCTTAGTGCTCCTTTTTGGTTAAACAAGTCTTGGTCAAAAGGCCTAAAATGGTCTTCTCCAGTTCTGAAATTCTTTAAATGGAATGATCAAAGAGGTCTGTCATCCACCTAATTTCTTCCTGTGTTTATATATTTAATAATACTCAAACTCACTGCTGTCAAGTTGGATCTGACTCACAGCGACCCCTCTTTGGGTTTCCGAGGCAGTATCACTATGGAAATAGACTGCCCAACCTTTCTTCCAAGGGGTGGCTGGTGGGTTTGAACCACTAGCCTTCTGGTTAGCAGTTAAATGCCTTAGGAAATACGCCATCAGAGCTCCCATATTTATAGCAAGTATATAACAAACACCACTTGCCATCAAGTCAGTTCCAACTCATGGCGATCCCATGTGTGCCATAGTGAAATGTGCTCCTTAGAGTTTTCAATGGCTGATCTTTCAGAAGTAGACCACCAGGCTTTTCTTCTGAGGCATCTCTGGTTAAAGTAAATCACCGATTTTTTGGTTGTCAGCCAGGCACATTAACTGTTTGCACTACCCAGGGGCTCCCACATAATAAATAAATAAATTGACTGGCCATCACAAAATTTTCTGTGCTAAAAATGTTTCACATTAAATTATGAAAAAAAATTATAGTTTAGTTGTGTTATTATTCCACTAAAGAAAAATAATTGCAAAGAAGAGACACTTTGATGGATATTATTTCCTACCTCTTGCTCATGCTGTGATTTTGAGCCTCATTAAGGATGTATATCCATTAACAAGTCTTCATTAAAGAATAGGCATACCATATTGATATTGCATAGGACAGTCAGATGTGTAATTCACCCTTGATACACATAAATAACTCCTAAGATATATAATGGGAGCTCTGGTAGCATAGTGCCTAAGGCACTTGACTGCTAACCAGAAGGCTGGTGGTTCAAACCCACCAGCCACTCCTTGGAAGGAAGAAGGGGCACTCTACTTCCGTAGCGATACTGCCTAGGAAACCTAAAGAGGGGTCACTATGAGCCGGGTCCGACTTGACAGCACATAACAACAACAACAACAACAAGATACATAATACATTTTTATCGAGAATGTCAGTACATCCTTGAGGAACGATATGAAAGATATGTAAATGTACCAAACCAAAAAACAAAATAAAACAAAACTCCCTGCCATTGAGTTGATTCTGACTCACAGCGACTGCCATTGGGTTTCCAAGGCTGTAAATCTTTACAGAAGCAGACTGCCTCATCTTTCTTCTGTGGAGTGGCTCTTGGGTTTGAACTACTGACCTTTTGGTTTGGCAGTCAAATGCCTTAATCCCTATACCACCAGAGCTCCTTATGTAAAAGTACAGGCTTCCCCAAATATCTTTCCCATCAGCCTCCACCAGAGTAATTCCTTAGGCACTTCACATTTTTAATTTCTCCTAAGATTAGCTATATTACCAAGAAAGGAGATTTATTAGCACATTAGGCCCACCAGAAGCCTTAAAATCTACTAGCATATGAGGGCAAAGACCTTGTCTCTCTTGGGTGCTATTATATTCACAATGCCTAGAATATACACCTACTCTTCAGTTATCAACTATCTCATTATCTGACATTTTGCATTTATGACCATCATAAAAAATCTGCTATCCACCTATTTTGCTCACTAATGTTGTATGTCTGGCAGTAATGAATGCCAAGGTGCAAAGCTAGAATAATGCTAGCTATGATGTTTAAGGTTATGTGTCAACTTGGCTGGGCCATAATTCTCAGAGTTTGGCAGTTATATAATAACATATTTTGGTAGCTATGTAATGATGTGATTTAGCAGTTATGTAATGATGTAGTCATCCTCCATTTTTTGACCTGATGTGGTCATTCTCCATTTTCACACAACAACCTGGTCTTTGGAACTTAACCATGTTGATAAGTGAGGAATGAGTGTAGTTGAGACTCATTAAATACTAGTTGATTGTATGAATGAATACTGGAACTGAACCATGTTGATAAGTGAGGAATGAGTATAGTTGATACTCAATAAATATTAGTTGGTTGTAAGAATGAATGTATAAGTTATTTATTAAAATTTAGCACAGTTTAGTTTATTAGGGTGGGTTAAGTTGTAAAAACAGGTCTTATAGTGTTGGGTCCCAGGACATGTTTTATTGGATAGAGAGTTTTAGAAACGGTTATAGCCATATGGTTGTACCATGGAGTAGGTCTATGTATGTTGTTGTTAGTTACCACAGAGTCACCCCCAAATAATGACAACCCTATGTATAACAGAACAAAATATGTGCCATCTTCACAATCATTAGTATGGTCAAGTCGATTGTTGAGGACACTGTTTATTCTTAATACCTTCCAACCTAGGTGGCTTATCTTCCAACACTATATAGGACAATATTCTGTTGTGATCCATAGGGTTTTCAGTGGAGGTAGGTCACCAGGCCTCTCTTCTTTGTCTATCTTAGTCTGAAAGTTCCACTGAAACCTATTTACCATGGGTAACCCTGTTGGTGGTTGAAATATCAGTGGCATACCTTCCAGCATCATAACAACATGCATGCCTTCACAATATGACAAACTGATAGATGGCGTAAAGGTCTATGTAGGTTGTTGCTGTTTGCTGCTGTCAATCTGATTTTGACTCATAGTGACTCCATATGACAGAGAAGAACTGCCTGATAGGGTTTTCTAGGTGGTAATCTTTCTAGGCAGGTCTTTCTCTTGGATGGGTTCAAACCACCACTACTTGAGTTAGTAGTTGAGTGCTTAATCATTGAGCCACAAGGGATTTTTAGTCTACGTACAGCACTGAAAAAAACAGTAATGTCACAAAAGCAAGGGATATCTGCTTAAGAGAAGGAAGTAGGAATCCTTACCAAAGAGAAAAATGTACTAAAAGGGAAGCTAAATGCTAGAGTAATGTTAGAATAAAAGGACATCTCTTTTTTACTAAGCATTTCCTTGATTTGAGCTTTATTCTTGCTCATTATCTAGGAGAACTTACCTGTCCTCGCTAGTTTTGATCTGTAGTTTTGTAGTCCTGCAGCCTCAGTTATGATAGTGAGGTTGTAGAGGTGGCCAGGCGTCAGCCCGTGAAAAGTATAGGAAGTAGCATGTTTGTCTACAATGCTGCTGTAAACCAGAATCCCTTTATCCATTAATGTCAGCCTGTATCGTTCCACATTCCCAGAGCCATGGGACCAGGAAATCAGGAGAGAACTGGGTTTTGTGGAAATACCAATATCTTTCACTGGAGATGGCACTATTGGGACAAAATGCATATGCAAAGTGTTAGTCATCATTTTCTTATGGAGGACATAGACACATCTAACTAGAAATCATACATTCATTTATAAATCTTTGTAAATCTATCTGTAACAGTAATGAGTAACAATGCTCTTGGATTTCACTGGAATGTTGATTAATGCTCTATTCAAAATTTACAGCTTAAAGCTACATCATAGTTTACTTGTCTGTCTCCCCTGTTTAGTAGTATTAAAGTTAATTTTTGCAAATAAATTATGACCTAGTAGTAAAACCAAAACCCAAACTCACTGCCATCGAGTCGATTCTGACTCATAATGACCCCCTTTGGGTTTCCAAGGCTGTATATCTTTACAGAAGCAGACTGCCTCATATTTCTTCTGTGGAATGGCTGGTGAGTTCAAACCACCGATCTTTTCTTTCTTTCTTTTTTTCCTTTGATTAGCAGTCAAATGCCTTAATCACTATACTAGCAGAGGTCCTTGGTGTAGTAGTAAGTGGAAGAGTAAAGGGGGAGAGCTATGTAAGGTATGGGAGAGAAAATGAAGGGGGAGGGAATGATATGAAAGACATTTCTTCAAAGGAGGTCATGATGTGCTGTCAGTATCAGGATGTGTAAGTGTAGGAGGTAACTTATTTCTTCCCAAGTCAAGGAAGCAAGACTTGTTTCAGATATTGGAATATTTAGGAAACATCACATTTTGATGTTATAAGAAGAATATATAAAGGAGGAAAACATTCAAACATGTTTTATGGAACAAACTCAGAAAAGGAGGCAAAAAATCTTGTCTAGGATTTGAGTTAGAAATGCCATTAGGGAGCAAGTACTACAAATTGGAGAGAACTCCAATCCCAGACAAGTTCTATGAATTGTTCAAAAGCTCCCAGCAAGTTAGCAACACAGGATGGCCTCATTATTTTCAGTCCAGTGTTTCCACTGTAGTGCACAGGCGTCTCCCTCAATACCCCTATTTTGGTGTGGGAGGGCATTCCAATTCTCATTCCTTGAATAAAATATAACTTGAAAAGTATCACAGATAATTGAATATCCAACTATATGTAAATAGGTCTTACCTGTTGATCCATTGGTATAAATTGTAGAGGAACGTTTATCTCTAGAAACGGCTGTGATGGCAATATTGTATTTATTACCAGCAGTGAGGTTAAAAAAGATATATTCAGTTGATAAAGTGCTTTCTTGAACTTGGACAACCTGTATCTTTTGTTTATTATCATCAAATAACTTCACCTCATACCAGGTAACTTTCCCAGAAGAAGGAGTCCACCAAACATGCAAGCTGGTTGAAGTGGTCTTCTCTTTAATGACTTCAAACCTAGCAGGAGGTAAAGGATCTGCAAGGCAAATACCAAGAAAGAGAATGTGGTTTGAAGACTTGCAAATGTTATTTTTACCTTACTGCAATCCAGACTCAGTTTTCTTACAAACTCTAAGTACAGATAGTCCCCGACTTAGGATGTATTTGAGTTACAACAGATTGCACTTAAGACAGTCTTTTTTTTTTGTATATCTTATTGTTAGTAATATGCACTACATAAAATTTTAAAATATATCTGTACATTATGAGATAAAGATATGGCATTCTGCTTCCATAAAGATTTACAGCCTTGGAAACCCTATGGAACAGTTCTACTTTGTCCTACAGGGTCCCTGTAAGTTGGAATCGACTCACCATCAGTGGGCTTCGTTTTCAGTAGTATTTCCAATTCCCAAAGACAAATAAATATTGGATTTGTAAAGATACTACTGATAAAAGGCAATAATAATGAAAACTAAAAACAAAAATCCAAGAGAGAGAGAGATTTGACTTACATCAGAACCAACTTACAATGGAGTCACTGGAACAAAACCCCATTGTAAGTTGGGGACTACCTGTATTTGCTTCTCCTGAAACAAATCGGCATTTTACTTTACTTCTGAACTTACTATTTCATTAAAACAAAAACAAAGCAAAAAATCTCTTAGTTACTAGTCATATGAACCCCCCTTTTTTGTCCTAATAAACCTTTTTTGTTAAGTTAGCTCTGGTCTTAGAAATCTAAGCAAGGTTGTATTTTCTTTGGCTTGCATGTTTAGCAAATCTTTCAAACACTGACAAACACGGAGGCTGTTTCTGAACAAATACTGAAAATCTCAACAGAAAATATAGATATTAAGAAAATAGGTGAAATTTCTACCGAATTTTTTATTTTCTAGGGAATGGATTTTTGATGGCCAATATACATAATTTGGATAGTTTTTAGATATTAGAATATGAAGAAAGTCTATGTTAGGTTTGCTGGATTCTACTAATAGTTGGTATTCCCTGTGTCCCTAGACTTTATAAACTTCAGTTCTGGGAATGAAGCATGTGGGACATGATAGAGCTGCTGGTGCCCCAGAGTAGCTAGAAAGTTCTGTGTCCAGATGTTCATTAGTTTCAGCTCTCAAAGCCATGGGTCTATTTTAGGAGCTCACTTTCTCTGTGCTGAATCTCCAATGTGGAACTTCACATAGGATGAACAGCATGTTTCTGGGTTTGGAACAATGGCATGTAGTGAGCAGTCACTCTTTTCATGCAGTGCGGACTATCTGAGAAATCAGGCTCTCCCTACCCTGAGAGCTGTTGGTAGAAGAATGGAGAGACATCTACATATGAGAGATTCTCAGAAATCCTACACGATACTCAGGCTAGAAAGTGGGTCCAAGGTATTGGAGACCAATTTCAAGTGGGAACAATGTACTGGATGCCAATTTTCAAGTAGGACCAACGTATTGGAGACCAATTTTCAAGTGTAAAGTCAATCAGGTGATTTTAGTGGCATGACTATGTGACCTCAGTTCTTACCTACCTCCTGGTATATTGCATTTTAATCACAGGATAACTCCAGGAATTCTAGATCCCTCTAAGAATAGTATAGATTTTAAGTAGATGTTCACTTGCAATTGACAAATAGAAATAGGAAAAAGGGAAACTTCTTACATATTCAAAAGGCATATGGACAAACGGCTGTACCCTAAGGAGTCCCTGGGTGGCATAAATGGTTAGGCACTTGACTGCGAGCTAAAAGAGTGGATGTTCAAACCCGCCCAGAAGAGCCTTGGAAGACAGGCCTGGGGATCTGCTTCTGAAAGGTCACAGTCTTGACAACCCCATAGAACAGGTCTGTTCTGTATATGTGAGCTCATCATGAGTCAGAATTGACAAAATAGCAATTAACATAGACACCATAGGCTTAATACAACCTATGCTCAAGTTAACGTCTTGCCTGCGTTTTATGCTATGATTTATGAGTACATCATGCTGCAGAAATTAAATAAGTCACATAGCATTTTGTAATATCAATAATTAATATGAAATGTAACAAGTATGCTGAGGCAACTGTAATCTTAAAATAATCCAGAGAGGGCCTGATGCAAAGGTGAGCTTGGAAGATAAAATCAAATGGGTTACACTGCAGCACAGCCCTGTGGTTTACCTGAGGAGTGTACATTCTAGGCTTTGATTTCCTGGTCTTGCTACTTTATAGATCTGTCATCTTGGCCTATTTCTTTACTTCATTTTCTTTGGTTGCATCATTTATGCATTGCTGATAACTTTATCTTTTTAGTAGAACTGTTATGAAGATTAAATTGACTATTATATATAAAGCGCTTAGAACAGTGTCTGGTACAGAGTAACTGCTCAGCATTAGCTATTATCATTGTTAGTCCTCTAATCAGGAACTGTGGTAGTAGAATGGTTAAGGACTCAGCTGCTAACTATGGATTTGGTGGTTTGAACCCACTGAGCAGCTCCATAGGAGAAAGACCTGCCAATCTGCTCCTTAGGATTAAGATTTCAGCTTAAACTAGAAAACCCTATGGAGCAGTTCTGCTCAGTCACACAGGGTTACTATGAGGCTAAATCGACTCAATAGCACCTAACAACAACATCAGGAGAAGAAGTGATAGTGAATGTGGACTCTGGAGTCAAACTGAACTAAATTCAAATCCTATTCCATGACCTATCAGTCATGAGACTCTTGGCAGGTTACCTAACATATCTAACCCTCATTTTTCCCATCTGTCTGACCAGTATAATAGTAATACCCACCTAAAGTATGCTTTGAAGATTAACAAGATACAGTGGAGACTTCAGCTGACACACAGTGGGCACTCTAACATAAACTTATTTCTGTCTACTTTATCATAAAAAATCTTTTCTTCTCAATCACTGACAAAATGGAGGCAGAAATGGAATTTGTTGGTTTTTTTTTTTTTAAGCTAAACTGATAGGCTTAATTGTCTTCCATATATATATATATGTTGTTGTTGTTCGTATGCCGTCGAGTCAGCCCCGACTCATAGCGACCCCTCCTTGGGTTTCCGAGGCAGTATCACTACAGAAGTTGGATTGCCCAACCTTCCTTTCGAGGAGTGGCTGGTGGGTTTGAACCGCCAGCCTTCTGGTTAGCAGTCAAGTGCCTTAGGCACTATGCTACCAGAGCTCCCTATATATATATATGTCTCTGTGTGTGTGTGCCTTGATAAAATCTTATCAGTTTATTCCCATGAACTAACTTTCTAACTGTTAAGATAAAATAGAAAATTCCCATGATGATTCTCCTCTATTTTTTCTTGAGGAAACACAGCAAATTTTGTTTGGCAATAACATTTAGATTGTTTATCCTCCATAATGGTCTATAATTAAGGATATCATAATAAAAGGAAAGAATATAATTGTCCCTTGAAGAAAGATTTCTTAGGGCCTGGTAAAAATTAGAAACTTTAATACCATGAGATCCTAGAAGCCAAGTGTTATAGATTGAATTGTGTCACCGAAAAATATGTACTGCAAATCCTAACCCCTATACTGGTGGTTATAATCTTATTTGAGGATAGGTTTTTTGTTATATTCATGAGACAGTATTAGTGTTGGGTAAGTCTTAAGTCAATCTCTTTTGTGATATGGAAGAAATTAAACAAGCAAGTGAGCAAACGGAGAAGGGGGAAGCGAGACATCAAGCGACATGAAGACCACCCAGGAGCAGAAGCTCAAAAGAGACAAGGCCTTTCCTCCGAGGCAACACAGACAGAAAGGCTTCCCCTAGAGCAGTACCCTGAATTCAGACTGCTAGCCACCTGTGAGAAAATAAATTTCTGTTCGTGAAAGCCATCTACTTGTGATGTTTTTGTTATAGCAGCACTAGATAACTAAGACACCAAGGAAACTCAAGAACAGTCCTGTCGTACCTACTGAGATGCATTCTCGCTGAAGTGGCGGTTTCAGAACAAGGATGAGTGTGATGGCTGTTTCCCAGTGATAGTTCAAAAGGGATCACTACCATTATCTATGTCTCCTGCCCAGCCAGAGAAAGGTTAAAGCAGATGATGATATGACCACTATAATCTAAACATATGTAATCTGTAAAATATGAGTTATAGAAATTGAATTTTAAGGTTGCGTGTCGAGAGGGTGAAGTTCAGAAATGTAGACTTTATCTGATCTCTCTGAGCCAAAAAACAAAACAGTCAATCCTTTGTACATCCGCTAGAACAAAGAACAATGAGACTGGGAAGTGCCTGGGCTGCGAGAACTTGCGCTGGAAACAAACACTTAAAATCCCATTTATGCTGTGATAAAGCCCTTTGCTGGCAGTTGTCCACTATTGCTATGCGTGCTGCAGAAGTTGAATACTTTTCAGAGAATTACTTTTTAACCTAAGCCCAGTGAAAACTCTGCTGTATTTTTTAAAAAGAAAAATTTAATATTTCATTAGATATAAACTAGATACTTTCATTAGAGACGGTAATTTTCTATACATATTGAGATTGTTAATGATAATTGAAAGCCTAGGTACATACCTGTAATCTTCTGATTATATGACAGATCATTAGAAAAAACCATTAGATTAAGCATAGGTTTTAACAAGCTTGTGGTATCTAAAGATAACCCACCGACTGTCTTATGAGCTGCTTGTCCATGATGTCTTTTGCATATATAAGAAGGTTCCCTTGCTCCTATCAGTATTTATGCCAACTGCAAGTGAACACTTTTTAAAAATGCTGCTTGACATATGTAATTTATGCTGATTATTGGAGGTATCAAGTGTGTATGGGTATTTCCCTATGGGTGGACAGATAGGTAAACAGGCAAAATGATCAGGTTTGGGTAGGCAAGAGGGAATATACCTGTGACCATATATAAGTTTGGCAAATGCTATTTTTACATACGTATTGTATGTGCTATAAAAATGTCCATGTGTATTGTAAAGCTAACAGGAGGCAAAGTTATGATAACTTCTTAGCCACAACCAAACATCTTGAAGGATTGAGGTGCTGGGGCCATGGGCTCAGGACCATGGCTGTCAGT